AAAGTATTCTAAGGGTATATTCAAATCGTAGACTAAATGGGTTGTTTTTTTTTTTTTTGAGACAAAGTCTCTTTTGCCCCTGCTAGAGTGAGTGCCGTGGCGTCAGCCTAGCTCACAGCAACCTCAAACTCCTGGGCTCAAGGGATCCTTCTGCCTCAGCCTCCCAAGTAGCTGGGACTATAGGCATGCGCCACCATGCCCGGCTAAGTTTTTCTATATATTTTTAGTTGTCCAATTAATTTCTTTCTAATTTTTAGTAGAGACGGGGTCTCGCTCTTGCTCAGGCTGGTCTCGAACTCCTGAGCTCAAACAATCCGCCCGCCTCGGCCTCCCAGAGAGCTAGGATTACAGGCGTGAGCCACCGCGCCCGGCCTCCTAAATGGGTTTTTGAAACTGGCGAATCTTTTTTGTTTACCTTCACTTATTCCTTCTCTGATGCTTTTCTTTGTATAGAACTGAGTTTCCGTTTATGATCACATCACCCTGAACATTCCTGATCTCATCTGATCTCAGAAGCTAAGCAGGATTGGGCCTGGTTAGTTCTCCAAGGGAAGAACTGAGTTTCTAACATGTTTTCCTTCTCCCTTAATAACTTCTTTTACCATTTCTTACAGGGTAAGTCTATTGGACATGAATTTTCTCAGTTTTTGTCTGAGAAAGTCTTTATATATCCTTCACTTTTGAAGGATAATTTCACTAGATATAGAATTCTCTAGGTTGGTGAGTGTTTTTGTTTTTCAATACTTAATATATTTCACTCTACTCTCTTGCATGCATATGTGCATGCTTTTATTTTTTTAATTGGAATATGAATATATTTCTTTATTAGAATATTCACAAGAATGAAGGACATAGTAGCACTCTTCTCATGTGATAAAGAATACATCTGACCCAATTGTGGCAGGCAACAGGGGTAAGGGCTCTCAGAGCTGGGCCAAGTGTCCACTGAAGAAATCCCCATTGCCCAAAGAGAAGTTGTTTCCTTAGACTCCAGAATCCTTCGTTCCAGCATCAGATGATGCTCTCTGCCCTTGACACTCCTCTTTCAAGACCCAGGTCAAGTGTCCGTGTCTCACCCAGGACACCCCTAGAATCCTGCAGCACATCTCTTTGGTATGCTGCTGCCCTGCCACCCTCAGGGGTACAGTTGGGGGTCAGAGAGGGAAAGAACAAAACAACATTATTGCCAAAAGCAAACAGGGTACATTTGTAAATGACACTTGGACATAAGCTGAACCTCACAACACATTCTTCCTCTCCAAATGATACATAATCCCCTCGAAAGCAAAGAAAACCCCTTGATCATTTTAAACCATATGAATGATTCTATATGTCAGGCACAAGGGATACAAAATGGATGCTGTTTACTTCCATCATATCCTGCACACAGTAGGAAGTTAGCAGATGAGAGCTAGAACCATATATCTATCCTGGTTCCATCAGGTTTCTCCTGGCTCTTCCTGCCTTTGAATGGTGTTACCACTCTGCTTCCATCTGTTCTGAGCATCAGTTCATTTTTCAAAAGGGAGGATAAAAGGATCAAGGATGGCAGAGCTAGTGTAGAAGGGCTTAGAAGGGAGAAAACAACCCTGTGAAACAGAACAAAAACAATAGAAAAATCCAGAAACCAAATGTAGTACTACAATATTTTATAACAATAGAAAGTAGCTGAAAATAATACATGCTAACACAGACAATATGATACACAGCCACAGGGGGAAGAGTCAGCAGGGAGAATGTGGCAGAGGCCACAGGTTTAGACTAAGAGCCTTTCAGTGGACTGCTGAATGGACTGGATCTGCTGCTTCAGCTGTGAGCCTTCTTTGATAGTGACAGAACAGGCAATGACAGGTCTGGAAACCCCACAGATCTGCCCCAGGGCCTGCTCGAAGGACACATTCCTGTCTTCACACAGCAGTGGGAGGTACAGAATGATCTCCAGTGGCTGGTCTGCAGCCATCACAGTGAACTCAGAGATGTCCCTGTTGAGGGTTTTGGTGGCTTGGCTGCAGTTCCACAGGCTCCCGTGCATGCTTTCTGACATCAAATTTTGAGAAAACTATAAAGAAGATCTTAATTATAACATATAAAAATTTGTTTTCCCCATTTTCCACACAGCTAAAATGCCCATAAGTATACATTCATATGATTTCTAAAAATGTGTTTAACTCCCTAAAGAATAAAAGTAATTGCTTTAATGCTGAAATAAGTTATACTGCTTTTTGATATATTTCTATTATCTGTTACATGTATATATGCATCTGTATTTCTATGTCCCCAATTCTTTTCAAGGCCTTGGTCTGTCTTTTTTCCTAAGTGAGATCCAGGTTGTCTATGTAATTGGGAAAGAGACAGACCAAATACAACTTTTTATTGATAATTGAGGGAGCCATCTCTCCCAGAAAGCAGTAAAATTCTCATGAATACAACACACAAAGTGAGAGTCACTTCTGTCAGAAATCTCCTTTTTCTAACACCCAACTCACTGTGTTAGTTTTTCTTTGCTTCCAGATTGTAAAAAATTAGATTCAACTAGAAGGGAAAAAATCAAATACTCCATAAGAGCTCTCAAATAGACATCTTTTGTGTAGAATTTTTCCCCCAAATATAAATAATCTGGCCACTACTTTGTTTTTCTTAACCTAATTGAACCTCCCAAAGTATAACAGCATATTTTATCTGAACTTTCTTTAGAAACGTACCTGGGAATCCGGGGGCTTCTACTCCTTCGGAAGGGCTTCATGACTAAATCCATATGTTTCTGCCACATAAAGTCAGCCCAATAGATATACATCATTTTCCTGATTTGATGGGAAAAAATTCAAAGCCAAAATTTTTCTCATATTTCAGAGGTGTTGAAATTTCTCCCCCGATCTAAAGATGAACTTTTAAAGATTTCTGGATATTTAAAGCCATAATATCACACAGTAGATTAGCCTTACTAGTAATAAAAACAAAACACGTATCCCCAGCTTCTCTTGAACTCCCAGGTAGAGGACAAATATGTCTTAGATAAGTTACATTAAACTGATTTATGTTAATCCAATTAATCCAAATTAGATTTTTTTCTTTTTTGGGGAGCAGGGAAGAAGAGATGGTTATGATTGAAGAGGGGAAGACTGGAGAAGAGAGAAGGTGACAGAATAGCTGACTGGATTCTTAAGAACATTATGAACGTTTAAAAGACTAAACAAATACTTTTTTAAAATGCTCAAGGTAATACAAGACATGTTTTAAACGAGATGGCTTGTTCTCCTTTTAATTAAGTCTTTCATTTCTCTATTTCATCCTACTCTTCACATTAGATAACTTTTCTTTTAAATTTTATATGGAACTATAATATAGTCAGGAAGTAGGGGTGGGGGGAAAAACTATAACATAATCAGAGAAAAGTAAAATCAAAATAAAATGTACAAGTCAATGAATAATGAACATAGCCATGTAGCCAGCACCCAGATTAAGAAACAGAATATTACTAGCACCTAAGAAGCCCCCCTCTCCCAGGACCTAACTGAATGTGAGCCTCTCTTTGAATCCCATATGACTATATTAACACTTTTATTTATTTATTTATTTTTTTGAGACAGAGTCTCACTCTGTTGCCCGGGCTAGAGTGCCGTGGCGTCAGCCTAGCTCACAGCAACCTCAAACTCCTGGGCTCAAGCGATCCTTCTGCCTCAGCCTCCCGGGTAGCTGGGACTACAGGCATGTGCCACCATGCCCGGCTAATTTTTTCTATATAGTTTTAGCTGTCCAGCCAATTTCTTTCTATTTTTAGTAGAGACGGGGTCTTGCTCTTGCTCAGGCTGGTCTCGAACTCCTGAGCTCAAATGATCCTCCCGCCTTGGCCTCCCAGAGTGCTAGGATTACAGGCGTGAGCTACCACGCCCTGCCAACGCTTTTATATTATATAGACGCTTACCATATTTTGCCTTGTATGATAATCATACTCCAGTGCTTCTCAAATTTTTCCATTAGAAATGCACCTAATTATACAGAAAAAAATGAATGGTTAGCCCCAAGGCTGTCACAAGAAGCTGCCTAAAAAATTAAAAGTTAATGTTAAATTTGCAGTGTTAAGTAGTAGACCAATGTTTGTTTTTAATATAAATATGCCACACTTTTTGACTAACACTCCAGGAAGATGTGTCAATTTAATCTTGGGGACTTATGGTACGCATGGCACACTGAAAAAGCTCTTCCTCTCCAAACCCCAACTAGACAGTAAGCTTTCCACAACTTACTTATATTTAAGTAAAGACTATTAAATTGAGTCTGCCTTACTATATATGCATCCCCTGTAAAACTAATACAATACCATGTACAGACAGATGCTGAAGTGAAAGAAATATTGTTGAACTGTGATTCTGGATAGGTTAACTAGCATTAACTACATTTATTAAATGTTTACCACGTACCTAGAATGTGCTCCCTGTTTCGAGGAGCTTAATCCCTCAAATGACTCTGAACGAGTATAAAACTGTACATAAGGGTTAAACTATGGAACGTAAGCCATTAAGCCATTAGTGTTCTGCAAGACAACTCGGGCTGGGACTCAATCTCTCCATTTCACACATAAAGTGACACATCGTAATTCTGTTCAGTACCATTTAAAAGTCCAATCTGAGCTCCAAATTATTTTCTGGAGATCGATGCTTTTCTGCTAACATTTTGCAAAGCTTAATCCTTTCCACCTGAGAATAAAAGGTTTACATCCTTTCGCTCTCCAGTTTGATGCTCGACAAAGCCTCCTGAGCGCCGGGCGGTGGGGCTCATGGAAGTCTAAGGCCACCAAAAAGCAAAAATGCCAAAGCTATCAGCCCCGCCCCTGAGATCCCCCACAGGCCTCCAATTGGTCCTTATGGCTCACTCTCTTCCCAGGTTGGTGTTCCAGCTTGCCGGTCGCCTATATAGAACCCACCTTTAGCCAGCGACTATTGGTAGATCGTTACGTCATTGCCCCATCAACCCCACTCCCATTGGCTCCCTTAGGAAGGGGCGGTCGCAACGTCACAGGCAACGGCCGCCATTTTGACTGAGCAACCCTAGTGACAGGAGCCGAAGCAGCAGTGCAGGTTGTCCCCGTTTCCCCTCCCCCTTCCCTTCTCCGGCTGACTTCCCGGGACCCCTACACGCCACAGTCCCGGTCCTGCCATGTCCCAAAAACAAGACGAAGAGAACCCTGCGGAGGAGACCGGCGAGGAGAAACAGGTGAAATGGAGGGGGTGCAGGCGGGCGAGCGGGGGGCGACCGAGATGGGGCGGGAGACGGTCTCCCACCCGTGCGGATTGGTCGTCATGGTCTCAGGCTCTGCAGGGGTTGGCCACTTCTTGCGTCACGCAGGGTGAGCTTCAACATGGCCTGCTGCTTTGGTTGCTGGTTAGTTAGGTCGGTTGTCACTCAGTACAGTACCTTTTCTGATTGGCCAATAGGCCTACAGCTCAAACCATGGAAGCTGTGCCATAATTGGCCGGTCTTGGACGTGGGGCGGGTGTTCAGGTGAACGGAAGGGGGCTGGTGGTCCTGGAAACGATGTGTGTTACTGGTTAGTAGAGGTGAATGGCCCAATAATCAGGCTGGTGCCTGCATCCTCAATCCACGGAAAGATAGTGGTCGAGGTAAAGAAGTTTAAGAAGGACCAGCACTGGGGGAGGGGAGAATAATAATTATTATCATGGCTAGTTTAAGGCGGTAACTTTCTCAACAGTCCTATTTTGATAGTTGGGGGATGGTCTGTTGCTCACCTTCAGTAAGGGCTGAATAAGATTAAAGAGGACTACAGTTCCAAACAGAATAGTGGAGATTAAACCTAGAAAAGATGTCGACAGAATCGTGACGAGAAAGACACCACCCTCTTCCCCCAGAGTACCAAGGCAGTGGGACTTAGTCCACCCACGGTTCTGTGATGAAAATACTAATGGCAAATGAACCTCTTCCTGGGGTTTGTATTTCACTTCTAAAATTTAGTACTAGGCTCAAGGACTCATGAAATACATGTGGTGTTATATTTATCCCTGATTTTCAAGGGAAGGGGTTGTAATTTCACTAAAAGAGTCACACGTTGACTTCAGGTCCTTTCAAAAAGTCACTAAAAGGCCAGGTGTGGTGGCTCACGCCTGTAATCCCAGCACTTACCCAAACTGAGGTGGGAGGATGGCTTGAGGCCAGGAGTTGGAGGCTGCAGTGAGCTATGATCGCACCACTGCACTCCAGCTTGGTTGGCAGAGCAAGACCCTGTCTCTAAAAAAAGAAAAGAAAAAAAAAAGCTGCTAATGAAAAGGGCAGCAGGGCCCACAAAAAGCAAGAAGAGATTGACAATAGTGAGAACCCCTGCAAGCCAATGAGCCCCTGAGCTTTTGGCATTTCCCCAAACTTCCATCACTTGCCCCACCTAGAATAGGTATTGATATTTTGGTTAAAACTGGTGGGTAAAAACTAGTGAATTTACCGTGTCTTTATTTTCCTTAAGTTAAAAACAGTGTCATTTTCATCTGTTTACTGATCCCCTTCCTACCACAATACTTATGGAAATTTTGAAGCAGTGTTGTGTCAATTACTCAGGTAGAGATTTTTGGGAAAGGCCACGTAGCTAGCCTCTTCCACAGGGAGACTTACCAGATGGCCATCTTAAACTCTGAATAAGGAGGAAACATCTAGCAAACTTATTCCCTTTGATTTCCAATTTAACTTGTAGGACAACCTAAGGAACCCTCCTACTCATCTTGTATCACCAGAAGCCCTGGCTAGCTCTTTTCCTAGCATCTGTGCTGAGTGAGCTATGGCGTGCTCTGTGATTAAAGTATTCTGTTTAGGTATTGCCTTTAACCCAATACTCACAGGTCACTGGGGTAGTTCCTTGGTGGAGTGTGAGAAGCAGCTTGTCTTTTTCTTCTCACAATACAGTCATCTTGAGCTTTAGGGATTTGAAGTAAGGTCTAGCTTTAACAGAGTAGAGATAGCATGTTTACAAGTGGGTGGATCTCCAGGAAAAGTTGATAGCATAAGGGTTATCAGATATTAGAAGCAGTTGTTTCTCAGTCTTTAATTTTATTTGGCTCATTTTTTTTCTCCAGGACACGCAGGAGAAAGAAGGTATTCTCCCTGAGAGAGCTGAGGAGGCAAAGCTAAAGGCCAAATATCCAAGTCTAGGACAAAAGCCTGGAGGCTCTGACTTCCTCATGAAGAGACTCCAGAAAGGGGTATGAAGCCTGATCTCTTACCCTCTTCTTCTGGAGTCAAAGGGGATTCTTGGAATGAAGTCTATAGAGGCTCTACAGGATTCTTTTCTGAAGGTTTTGTTGAGCAATAACGGAGAGGAATTAGAAACTTGAAATGAGCCAGGCAAATTATTGTAAACCCCTGATATGTTATCAGTTCCCTTCTGGTTTCCCATATAGGAAATTAAGGCTTAATATTGGGGCATTTGGGTATGTGGGGGAACGAGGAAAGGATATTAGAGACTGGAATGTAGATTGCCCCAAGACATTTGTCTGTTTGGATGGTGGGGATTTTAGGATTGTGTACTTTTTAAGAATTAGAGATAAAATGTGGAGTGCATCATTTCAGAAAAAGATGGAACTATCTGTTCTGTAGAAATCCTTAACTTGAAATGTAGATTTCTTCATACCTTTGAAGTTAGTACCAGCCATTAAAGGTCCCTCAGAGACCTTATTTTTGGTCCAGAGTGGTCCTCCTCACCAAGGGAAAGCCTACCTCGATAGCCATCTAACTCCTGATCAGGTTTCTCAGTCCTCAGAGGTACCTAAAGCTGACTGAGGAATTGTAAATCATCAAACTGGAGTGGATGAAATGGAGAGTGAAACAGATCTCATCGGAGGATCCCAGTTACTGAATCTCAGTCACTGATGATAATAGTGTGATGCTGATTTGCAGTTTACCTTGCTGTAGGCAAGGCAGGCGTGGGCAGGCTGTCACAGTCATGGAACATGTGTGGGAGCAGTGAGAATCAAAGGGAAAGTACATTATCCTCCTGAACAAGCCCAGTTTCTATTTCTGGTCTGAGAGAATAATTTTTAATTTTGAGGTTGATCTGCTGATTGCTGGGATAGCCCCAAAGTGACTGTTCTATATATCTTATTCATTTCTGTTTCCCCAGTACTAGGCTTTTGCTTTGTACCTAGTAAGGTCCTCAGTAAGCCTTTATGAATAAAGTAAGTAATTTTGGTTGAACCATCTTGTACTGAGCAGGGTACAAAGGATTTGTAGGGGTTGCCCCTTGACTCCAAAAATATATACTCTAGCTGGGAAACTGCTTATATACCTGAAAAAGTCAGAACACACTGGGGAGAAGACATAAGTACATGTAATTAATGTTAAACTGTATATGCATAAGGTTAATTAAGGAAGACATCTTGAAAGATCTGAGTATGGATAAGGGTTTATGATGGATGTGAGATGTGAGTCTCCTTGTTTTTGAGGAAGACCAGAACTCCTCACTCACCTAAACCTCCCTCTTGTCTCTTAGCAAAAATACTTTGACTCAGGAGACTACAACATGGCCAAAGCCAAGATGAAGAATAAGCAGCTGCCAAGTACAGGACCAGATAAGAACCTGGTGACTGGTGACCACATCCCCACCCCACAGGATCTGCCCCAGAGAAAGTCCTCGCTCGTCACCAGCAAGCTTGCGGGGTAACCTGGGCCCCCCTCTCCTCCCCTTCCTCACCCACTGGACTTCTATAGATCATAGGCAGGGATGGAATGGGCACCTAGTCAGATCTTCTCAGCCTGTTAGCCAGAATTGACTGTGATTTTGCTGGGGGCTGCTGAGAAGATAATGTGGGTTGAAGAGGGGCTCTGAATTCATTTCTTTGGTTAAATTGAGACTTCTACACCCTCACTGTAGTTCAGGTAAGGGCCCAGAAATAGCAAAGACTAGGATTGGATAATGCTGCAAACTCTTTTTCTTTTGTGAGAAACTGGGTAGATGTGATTTCTCCTTTTGGAAGAAAATGTCCCAAAATTAGTTAGGCTGAGCCTTGGGAATAATTTGGCAGGTTTAACATCCCAAGGCTAACCTGACATGGTTGGGAAAGGTAGATTGAATGAGACATGTTTCCTGTGCTTCTAAGTGTTTTGTCCCTTAGGCTGCTATTGCTTCATGTTTCCATTTTGGCAGGTGTAGAGAATCCTCAAAAAGAAAAACTGACTTGCTTGCCTAAAACTACAGTGCCCACTTAACTTCCTTTACTTAGTATCTCTTACAGTTTGTCCTGGGTCTCAAATAATGTAAAGATTGATGAACATTATCCATATGGGCACCTTCTCTCTCTCTTCCAACAGGTTGCTTTTGAAAATATGGGCTAGTGGAAAGAGTACTGGGTTAGGAGTCAAGATATCTGGGTTCAAGTTCCACTCAGTCTCAGCAGAACTGATTTATAAGCTTGGTTGAATCATTTAGCCTCTCTGGATTTCTATTTCCTCATCTGTAAAATAGAGTTAAATATATATAAAATTGATTCTGATCCTAAGACCCTATAATTGCCAGCAGAAAAACTCTGCTGTTCATTGTAAAAACTAATAGTGAGGAAGGCCCATGGGTGGTGAGCCTCTGTGATACTGGGAATGTACTACAGAGGGGAACCATTTAAGGGCTACATGAGGAATAAAGAAGTTGAGATTGGGGGGTTATAAATTCAGGCAAGAGAACCTCATAGATATCATGGTCTTGAGGGTCAAGAAAAAAACTTTTAAGAAGCTAGCCATGGAAGCTTCTTGCCTCTGACCCCACCTACTTTCCCAGCCTAAATCTGGGCCTTAGCTGCAGAGCTGTGGGCCTGAGGAAACGTATTCAGTCATGCACATGTGTTGACCCATGTTTCAGATATAGTCATATGCCAAGTGTATTGTTAGGAAAAGAGCAGGAAAAGGGATAAACTGAGCTAGCCCCTGGGGCTTAGTACTACTACAGGGCTGAGCAGCAGGTTCTTAAGAGATGATTCACCTTGGAGGAAGCTGGGGAAAGCAGTTAGGGAGAGAGAGGAGGAAGACTAAGAAATGTTTTCCTTCCTAGAGCTCAGTAACCCAGCTCTTGTGCGATAAGGAGAGGTAGCAGTGCTGATTCATGAACAAGTAGAGGAAAGGGGTTGCAGGTGACCAGCATCTTCAATCTAGTTATCACCAGCTTGGCCTGAATCTTAGTGAATGCAACCTGCTAGTTAAGATAAAGAGGGCCAGGGTGAGAACTAACTGTTAAAAAGAGCAAGATTCTGTAATCCTCTCTTGCCTTCTCACCTCACAAATCCTGATATGCCAAACATTTGAGCCAATGAGAATGACTGATAAACTTGCTGATATGCATGTGGGGGGATGAGGTGCGTACACACTTCTCTCCTGACTGGCCATCCAGTTTTCAGGCCGTCATGCAGATTGGATAGGAAAAAGTTGGTGAGGAAGAAATGGAGAGAGCAGGATCCCTGGACTCCCTAGCCCCCAAACTCCTTGACTGTCACTTGTAATTGTATATAATTTTCATGTTTCTTGCTCCATTTCCTCATGCTGTCATCCTTAATCTAAAGTCCATGTGGGAAGGGGAAAATGCCGAACATCGTTGTATAGTTTCCTCAACTGTCCCAGCCATGTGTACATAGATATGTCATGTTATTATATATATAAATATATATATAATTTTGTACGTTTTCTTCATCTCCGATCTTCTCGAATTCTGTACTTTTTTCTTTTCTGTCTGAGCTGCCTTCTCTATCGCTTGAGTCCTCAACACTACTGGTCACAATGAGTCTGGTTTTCAGGAAGGAAGAGAAAGAGTAGGGCAATCAGAAAAACTATTGGTCTCACTCTCTCCCTACCTGGTCATCTTCAAGGATAAAAAAGCAAAGAAACAAGCTACCTTCTGTGTCTGTCACCTGTCACTCTAGCATGAAGTACATAGCTTTCTTAGCAAGAAAGGGTCATTTCAAAACCCAAGTGCATATTGCTTTGATTAAGCCCAGATTATTAAATCCACTCAAAACGTGTGCGGTCTGGCCTTGGCCTCCACACAGTCACCACCTCCTCACTGTGCTCCTCCGTCAGTCTTCACTGCCACGAGTAGCTGTGGCTGTGCCTCTGAAGCTGAGCCTGTTCTCAGCCAGGCAGCGTATCCTATTGGAAGCCTCTAGTTTTATTATTTCTTTTTAAAGCCAGTCAAATTTAGCAGTGGGGAGTTGAATACCAACTTCAGTGACACTAATGTTAATAAGTTCTAATAACCCACTACTATTGGACCAGCCCCTGGTTTTTTGTGTTTGTTTTCCATGGTTAGCTACAAAAAGGCAGAAAACATTCTATTTTATAGAAAGGAAAAGAATTAAGTCTTCTCTTTCCCTTTCTTTTTTTATTTTTTGCAATTCCTCTATGGATAGGAGCCAGGTAGTCTAATGACTGTTAAGTGTGGAGAAATTATGGGGTAGAGACTGGGAATTCAGGGGTTTTATTCCCCTATTACTTGACAGTGTTCTTTTTTTCTTCTGTGTTCGTCTGCAGTGGCCAAGTTGAGTGATGCTGCCCGGGGCTCCGCCAGATCCTGAGACGCTGCCCCCCTGGGTCCTGTGCTGGCTCCTGCCTCTCCCTGCTTTTGCAGCCAGGGGTCAGGAGGTGGCTCGGGCACGGGCTGGAGAGGCAGAAGCCCCTGCCCGTCGGTGTCCCAGCGCATGGAGCCCCTTGGGCTGAGCACCAAGACCTTGAACCTTTTTTATTTTACCTTTTTCCCAAATAACTGTTGGGAGAAATCTCAATGAAATCCTGGGGGTGGGATTGAGAGGGTGGGGTGGGAGATTTGGGAGAATATGAATTAGGGCTCGGAGTTGATAAAAACATTCCTAACCATCCTCCTCCTTGACCCTGTGACTGGTGTAGGGTAGGTGTGAGGGGGAGGAAGCGGAGTAGACTAAAGGTAAGGAGTTCTAGTTCAGTTCTGTGGATAAATGCCTTTGGATATGGCTGGAGACCTGGTGCCAGACAAAAGAAACTCAGCCTACATACAACAGATTCAAACAGCTCCTCTGATTCTGTAGAGCTAGCTGAGAACCTAATGTTAATTGTTCATTTAAAAAAGTGCTGTCCTTGAAATAGATTTGATGTGGGGAGAGGGGAGTGAGTGTGGGGGAAAGGAGCCATGAGCATGGGGAGCCCCACAGAGCCCAGGGGACTTTTTCAGTATTTGAAATAAAAAACAAAAAAAGACCCACAAAAAAACCCAACCCAGAAATACTCTGAAGCAGTTGGTGTGTTTTATTGGGGTTTGGGAGGGGGAAGAAAACAATACTGAAGACACTGTTCAGGGAAGAAGCTGATATGGGGCCCTGAATTTCTAAGGGACACAAGGGCCTTTAATGTGGAATGCAGCTGGGCTCCCCGATTCCATCACTTAGGGAGAGGGAGCAGCCATGTTGACATACAGACCAAGGCTTTTCCTAAACTCTGTCTATCCCTTTGTTTCTGTAGCTAATGTAGAGGATGCATCAACCTCAGGTTGTGGCTCAGAAAAATGAGGGATTGAAGGTATTTGATCTAAATGGTTGACACCTACAGCTTAGTCCAGGCTAAGCAAAAAAGGAAGCCCATTCTTCCTTTTCCCTTTCAGTCTTCCATTCCTTCGCAAGTTCCCATGTCTGCGAAGGAGAAACGTGATAACATCCCAAAAATTATTATTTCTTAGAATTAAGCTAAAAGAAACTCAAGCCTTTCTGCTTGTGGCCAGCAGGAGGCAGGGTAGCCTCTTTCCTCATGGTATCCCAATCTGCTTTGCGGGAAACCTGCCACAGAAAGGAGTTAAAAGCTGCTTGTGAATGTAATGTTCAGAAGAAACATTACCAAAGGAGAAAGAAATTCACGCTGCTCTGTACGTCCTCCTGAACCCCACCCTTGCAACATTCACACGTGGTAGATTGTATCAACTTGTCCATTTTGCCTGACTTTGATTAGGAGAGTTGATCATGGTATTTTCTGAAACATGATTGACTTCTCAAATGAGTATGCTTCAGGGAAGATAAATCCAGGAAACATAGGTATTCCAGAGAAATCCCCATTGTACTAAGGGGAAAGAAATACTTTCTAAACTAGAGAAGGAATGTTATACTCAGTATCTGACTCATTCTTTTTCTCTCCTTAACCAGAAACTTTCCAAATAAATTTTCAACTACTCTGGATGTTATGAGTTTGTTCTCTTCTGGTTTATCCAGGGGATTGTGATGCATCCTGACCATCTGCCTTTCTGAACAGCATGCTAGACACTGAGTGAGCCAAGTAGTATGGAGCTATAGTAAAGAAAGGCATTCCCTATCTTTATGGAGTTTATTGTCTAGCTGGAACAAAATAATATGTGAAAAAAGTTCAAATAACAGGTAAAAACTCAAAGCTGTATAATCCGGGGACATAAATTAACGGTGTTTATTGTGGTGGGGTTAGGAAGCCTTCTCATCCTTGCTCACCTTGAGCCAATCCCATGACTTCTGAGCATGTTATCCCTGGTTAATGTCTGTCAGCTGGATATGGCTGGGGAATGAGGGCAGTGAGGTTGAATGTGGGATCATTCAGTTAATGCAATTTCATTTTAATACAGGTGAAGAAGTTAAGGTGTAGAAATAAGTTACGTGTAAGGTGGCAAAGCTTGTTAGCTGAAGAGCATGAGTTAGTATCTAGGCTTTTATATGATCTTTTTCCCACTATTCCTGGCTTACCTGGTCTTTAATTTTAAGCTGTGGCCTTAGGAATCCTGAGGTGCCAAGAAATGTTTGTGGCTGTCTGTATTTCAGTTAAAAACTTGCTATTCCTTCTTCGCTCCCATACTATAGGGCTAGGCAACCAAAGCAAACTGATCCTGCAGTGCTTCAAATAGCTATTCCTGCTCATTATTTTAGCTAAATGTTTTCCAAAATCTTTATCCCAAAGACTTGAGTCCAGGGTTCTTCCTGAAAAGCCTCTCAGCTGAGCCATCTGATAGGCAGGGTGGTAGGGATGAAGTTACCATTACTGTCCAACAGCATTTACTTTACGCTGGTATGGCCCAGGCATAGAAAAGGCAGACAAAAGAAAAATAACGTGGAGAGTTGCCATTGAAGATATCTACAGCAGGCTGGAAGGACCCCACAAGCAGCCCTTTCCTGTATAGTGCCCTCTACTGGGCTTTGAGGGAGGTTAAAAAGGAAGGGGAAGATTTGTCCTACGCTGGGGGAGCTAAGATACGGGAAATTTATGTAGTTCTAAGCAGAATTCTGAGAGCTAAGGGAAGGAAAGTCAGGAGGTGAGTTGTTAGCTGAATTTTATTAGAGACAGATGACTTACTAATAAAGATAGGGTGGGACCTCCATGCTTGGGCAGCAATATTTTAATTCACAAGTAATTGTTGAAAACTTACTTTGTGATTGGAAATATTAGCTGGTTTTGGGCCGATAAACAATGTAAGAGATGGTTTCTTTCCTAGAGGAACTTGTAGCCTCACTGAGACACTTCTATATATAACACAAGACAGCATATGATTAGGCAGTAGAATTCTGAGAAGGGGAAATCCAACTGGACTCAGGTGAATATTAGTAGAGGAAATGGAAATTGAACTAGGCCTTGAAAGATGGGTAGTATTTAAACAGCCCAGTTCAATTATTTAATAGGTACCCACACTATGCTAAAATACAAGATGAGTGATATGTGGCTGCTGCTTTCAAGGAGATTGATTACACTTTCAAGGGCCAACTACATATGAAGAAACCATATTACAGTGTTAAAACTTGAAGCAGTAGAAGTGTAGCTACATAGAGGATTAGGGATGAGTAATTAATAATAATTGCTAAATATTTTGAGTACTTTGTGTCAAGACTCGTGCTAAGTGCTTAATTTACATTTCATTTAATCCTCAAAACAATTCTATGAAGTAGATACTCTTACTATTTCCATTATACAAATGGGAAAACTAAGACAAAATAACTTACCCAAACCTCACATCACGAAGCTTCTAAGAACAGGATTCACCCACTGCCTACAAAGGGATAGGGAAAAGAATGATCAGGAAAGATTTCATGGAATAATCTCTGAAAGATGAACAAGATTTCTCCAGAAAGGTAAGGTGAAAGGGGGCATTTTGGTAGAGGTACCAACACTTAGAAAAGGATGAGACAATATGGACTCTGGTGTTTCTGCAGTGGCTGTATCAAATGAGTCCTGCAAAGCGGCTGGAGACCCAGCCAGGGAGGTAGACAGGAGCCAGATTACAGAGCAAATGACACGCAGGCAGGCCTAGGAACCAGACGAGATTACAAAGTCCGATCTGTGTTTTAGATAGATCACTGCCAAATGGTGTGGAGAAGGGATTTAAAGGGGATGGATTTAGTGATGGACCGGTTCTAGTCTGGCTAGGCTGCCTGGTTTTAAATCCTGATTTTGATATTTTTTTGATAATTCTGGACAAGTTTCTCAAACTCTGTCTCAATTTACTTATTTGCAAAATAGAAGTGATGTGGTACCTACCATAAAGGTTATGATGATTAAACAAGATAAAGCATGTAAAGTCATACTTCAGGGACTATAACAGTACATAAAATATGAGTCCTGCCCCCAAGGAGTTCACAGCCTATATGGGGATATAATAAAGATCAATAGGCAAGCAATTAGAATACAGGGATTTGGTGCTAATATAGGGATAAACACAAAATGTTCTGGAAGCACAGGGTAGGGGTACCCATACAATTTGAGGAGGTGGGGGAAGGACAGTCAGGAAAATCCTTTCACAGAGAGTAGCTTCTAAACTGAATCTGATGGAGAAGTAGAACTTATTTAGGTAAAAAGTTTAGATTGAGAAAGGGTCTTCCAGGTTTGGAAAGAACAGTATGTAAAATGATCCGGAAGTGTTACATTCTGGAAATAAAATAATTCAGAGTAGCTGTGGCAAGCATGCAAGGGGTGAGGCCAGAGATGGGTAAAAGGAAGCAAGAGTCAAATCTCAAAGGGCCCTTTGGACTTTATCCTGAAGGCAATGAGAAGCTGCTGTTCAAGGATTTTGAGCAAAGGAATGACATGATAAAATTGGCTCTTTAGAATAATCTTTCTGACTGCAGTATGGGGAAGAGATTGAAGAGTGTAAAATTTATGTATTAGTGGTTCTGGTTATGGGATAGAAAAGTTGAAAAGGCGGGTGGCTAGTATGAGAAGGAAGATGATGACTTCCATTTGGGGGATGATAAGTTTGAAGTAACAATGAAACACAGCATGTGGAAAATGCTGTATTACACTCCACTTAGTAAACCATTATCACGGGCGAGTTGAGTTGTAAGACTTTATTATGTTGCTAGAGTATTCCAGGTGAGATATGATTAGGAACTAAGTGGGGATAATGAAGAGTACACAGATTCAAGAGACACATGGGAAGTACAATCAACAGGATTTGTCGTGGAATGTGGACTTGGGAAGAGACAAGAGTCTAATAATAATAAAAATTCCCAGGTTTCTGGCCTGCGTTACTGGGTAAATGATGATGAAATTATCTCACCCAGATTGAGAATACAACTGGAAGAGCAAGTTTAGCAAGGAAGACAGTGAGTTCAGTTCTGCAGAGAGGTTGATTTGAGGCGCCTATAGGGCACCTAGGAGTAGATAACTAGTAAGATATTGGATTTAGTAGTCAAGGGGTTGGGGAAAGAAATCAAGATAGGAGATACAGATTTTGTGACTTCAAGATATACCAGTAGTGGCCGGGCGCGGTGGCTCACGCCTGTAATCCTAGCTCTCTGGGAGGCCGAGGCGGGCAGATTGTTTGAGCTCAGGAGTTTGAAACCAG